GAAGTATGAAAGTAGAATATTTCCTGATTTACTCAAGGGGGATACAAAAGTCTTATCTCTTATGCAAGTACTATGGGACTGTCTGGCCAGATAGACACTTTATCTATGGAAGTTATCACTGGGAAGAAAATTCTTGGATGATTTTAGGGGCAAAGGGGAAAAAATTCATACTTTTGGAATAAATGCCAATTATTTGGCAAGAATCAGGAGACTCAATCAATCAAGCACTTATTAAGACCTTAGTAAGTGCCGAGCATTGTGCTGAGTACCAGGGATACAAATAAAAAGTTAAAAAAAAAACAGGCTCTGCCCTCCAGCAGCTTATCTTTTAAGAAAAGACAACATACACACAAATAGGAACATATAAGATAGATGCAGAGTAGATGGAAAGTAACTTTAGAGGGGAAAGCATTAGTAGCTTGGGGACCAGGGAAAAGTCTCATGAAGACAGGAGCACTTGAGCTGAATCTTGAAGGCCTTGGGTTATTCTTTCAAGTGAGGAATCAAAGGCTTCCTAAAGGTGCTTATGGGTTTTTTTTTTCCCTTTGAGATTCTACATGTGAGATGCTAACTCAGATTTCACAGGAGAAGAAGAATAAACTTCCAATACACTCAAATCCTAACAAAGGTTTATTTATTAATATGGCATTGTATAAACGTGTATATGTATGCATATTTCTATAGCAAGTAACAATAAAATTCACTTACAGTCTTCAAAATGAGGAAGGATAGCATTTGCAGTTACAAAATTCTAAAAATCAAAACCACATTTCTAAAAAATAAATTTTATTGATATTTTTCGTTTTTATACCATTAAAATTTCTCCTAGTATCCTTCCCCAACCTTTTCTCAGAGAGTCTTTCCATTCTATGTAACAAAAAAATTTTTAAAAGAAAACAAACAGGAATAATAAGGGGAATAAAAAGCTCAACAAAACTGATCTATTCATTGAAAAAGCCTGAAAATATAAGTGATTTTCCATACCTATGGACCTCCTGCCTCTGCAAAGGAGTGGGGTAGACATCTCCTATCTTCTCTTTCAAGCCATGCCTGTTCTATGCAACTTTGCAACATTCATTTTTTAACTTTTTATGGCTGTTCTTTCTGTTTATGTGTAGTCATTCTGTATATTGATTTCTTGGCTCTGCTTACTTACATTCTTCATCTGATCATATAAGTTTTTCCATGTTTCTCAGTGTTTATCATATCTGTCATTTCTTATGGCATAGTAACATTCCATTACATTCAAGTACTACAATTTGCTTAGCCATTCCCCAGTCAAAGGGCAGCTACTTTGTTTGCGATTCTTTCTTATCATAAAAATGGTTACTATAAATATTTTGATGCATATGGGGACTTTCTTCTTATCAATGACCTCTTTGGAGTATATGCCCAGTTGTGGAATCTCTGAGTCAAAGAATATAGATTTTTTTTTGGTCATTTTATTTGCATAATTCTAAATTGTTCTCAAAAATGGGCAAAAGTATATCTTTATGCATATAATATAGATAGAATCTTCAAGGATAATACATCACAGAAAGCATTGTAACAGTTGCAATGTTGTTCATTTTACTACAGAAATAAAAACTAGGAAGTAAGGTCTAGGAAATAACTATTGAAAATTGTACCCATTAAAGAATGGAGATGAAAGAAAGTAAGAAAGAAAGAAAGAAAGAAAGAAAGAAAGAAAGAAAGAAAGAAAGAAAGAAAGAAAGAAAGAAAGAAAGAAAGAAAGAAAGAGAAAGAAAAGAAAAGGGAAAAGAAAAAGGAATGGAGGTCTAGATGTCCAGATTAATCAACAAACATTTGTTTAAACTCTTTTTTTAACATTAAAAAATCATCAACAAACATAAACATTTCAGCATATAAAGAATGAAAAAGAGGATTACATATGAAACTGTGAATTTTGACATCATTTTAAAAAATGTCTATTAAATTTAACAAAAGTCCCAAAGAGATAATAGAAAGAGGGAAGGACCTATGTTAAAATATAAATACCCATAACAACACTTTTTTGTCCTAGCAAAGAACTGGAAACTAGGAAGTGTTCATCAACTAGGCAATGGCTGAAAAAATTATGATAATCTTAAAAATGTAAATTAATTAAATATGATTTATATTTTAAATTTGATTGAACTGTGATAATATCAACATTTTAATAATAACCACAGTATAAATTATAATATATAGATTAATGGAAAACTATTTCACCATAAGAAATTATTAAAGGAATTGATTCAGAGAAACCTGGAAGACTTGTATGAACTGATGCAGAGTTAAGGAAGCAGAACCAGGAGAGCAATTTACAAAATAAAACATTATAAAAATAACAACTTTGAAAGGCTTAAGAATTCTGATTAATACAATGAACAATCACAACCCCAGAAGACTAATGATGAAACATGCTTTCTACATCTTGGCGGAGAGGTGATGTCCTAGAGATGCAGAATGAGACATACAATTTTAAATATGGCTAAAGTGTGGATTTCTTTTGCTGGACTGTATGCTTTGGTAATAAGGCTTTATGGGGGGTGCAAAGTGACAGGGTACAGTGATAGTTATATAACAACAAAAAAAGAAAAGTTATATAACAAATTTTTTTTTTAATTCAGAAAAGGGTACAGAAGGAAATCCAAAGGGAGACATGAATAAGCAAAACAGCTTTGGGACTACTATGATGACTTGTTATATACTTTTGAAAAACAACAAAAAGCTGTATGTAATTGCAGTTTTATATGCAATCCTCCTACCTCTCTGACAAGAGATAATAATAATAATAGGTAATGTTTACATAATGCTTTAAGGTTTGTCAAGCCCTTTGTAGATATTGTCTCATTTGTTCCTGATAACAACACTGTAAATAAGTATACTTGGATTTGAAGAATCTGAGGCCAAGAGAAGTAACTTACCATGATCACACAATTAATTAATGTCTGAGGACAGGATTTGAATTTAGGTCTTCCTGATTTCAGGAACAGCATTCTACTTACTGTGCTACCTAGCTGCCTAGCTGGGGGAGGAACGGGAGGGAATAAACATTTGCTAAGTGCCTACTATGTGCCAAGCATTTTACAAGTATTATCTCATTTGATCTTCACAACAACCCTGGAAGGGAGGTGCTATTATCACCCCCATTTTACAGATGAGGAAACTGAGGCAAACAAGTTAAATTCAGTATTAAGAAGCCCAGAGTCACACACCTAGTAACTGAGGTGGGATTTGAACTTTCTCACTCCAGGACCCGTGTTCTATCCACTGAGATACTAGAAGACTTTGGTACCACTTAGCAGCCTGTTTATATCCCTTGACCACTTATTTTGTGGGAAATGGCTCTTGTGTGTGTATATGTATTTGCATGTCTCTCTACCAGCATATACATATACATGCACACATGTATATGTACGTATGTATACATATATGTTATCAGTTCCCAATATATCTTGGATATTATATCTTTATCAGAGAAATTTGCTCAAACATTTTTAAAAGCCAGATAACTGTTTCCTTTTTAATTCTAACTGAATTGATTTTGCTTGTGCAAAAGTTTTTTAATTTTATATAATCAAAATTATCCACCTTATCTCTTCTGGTTGCCTCTATCCCTTGTTTACTTAAGTATTATTCCCCTATTCATAGTCATTAAAGTATCTTCTCCTCTTCTGAGTTTTATATGGCCTTCAATATTTTGCTCCTGGATCAGTTTGGAGCATTATTGTGGCATCTGATATAAGATGTTATAGATGTCAGTTGTCAGTCAGCCAGCTAACATTTACTAAGCATCTGCTATGTGCCCAGGATTGTGCCAGGTGCTAGGGATACAAAGAAAGGCAAACGGCAACACCAACCAAGCCAAACAAAAAAACCAGCTCCTGCTTTCAAAGAGCTCACAGTCTAACAGAGGAGTTCTTGGTGTTAGTATATAGATATTTTCCCATATTAAAGGAAGGTTTATTTATTCCTATGATTTTTAGGGGTTGAAAAAGTTGTTTTCTATGTCAATTGCTAACAATCATACTTTTTATTGTTTTGTTATCAATATGGTCAACTAGGCATATAATTTTGGATAAACTTGAATCCTTGGTAGTGAGTAATCTTTCAAATAAGTTGGTGTAGTCTTTTTGCTTAATCAAGAGCATCTATGAGCACATATGGGAGACAGCCTGAAAAAGCTCAGAGGCGGCAGATGAAAGGACCTACTGGTTGGGAGGAGAGGAGCAACAAGTAGGCCAGTTTGGCTGAAGCCAGGAGTACTTGAGGGGGAATAATCAGCCTCTTATAATTACTGATATTATTGTTTTTGTTGTTGAGATCATCATCATCATCACCATCATCATCACCACTACCATCATCACCATCACCACCATCATCATCACCACTGCCATCATCACCATCACCATCACCATCATCATCATTACCACCATCACCATCAGCATCACCATCATCATCACCACTACCATCACCACCATCATCACCATCATCACCATCACCACCACCACCACCCTCACCATCATCATCATTACCACCATCACCATCAGCATCACCATCACCATCAGCATCACCATCATCACCATCACCACCATCATCACCATCATCATCACCAGGCTTTAGAACCTAGACAGAGTCTTCTACTGAAATAAAAGCGCCCTGTATTTTATTGCAGACACAGAGACGCTCTCGCGCATCTTCCCCAGGGCCTGGACTGCACAGAGGTACACGCTCAGTCCCACAGTCCCGTGTGACTTTTCCCAGGCAGTCACCGCCTTGAATTTCGACTTTAGGACGAGTGAGCCCTGTTACTATTGGCTCCCTCGCACATCGTTCTTTTCCTCCGCCAATAGGGCTCCGGGGGACAATCCTTTCGTCCTGACCAATCAATCTACTTTGTCATTTTAAATTCCGGACGCGTCGAGTCTGCCGGCGATCTTGATTGGCTTTCGTGAGCTCGCCCCCGCTGTGATTGGCTGCACCTCAGGGAGGGCGCACTGATGGCGGAAGTCGCCGAGCTACGGGGGCTGATTGACTCGTGGTAGAGTTAGAGGACGGGGCTTCGGGGGGGAAAAGGAAAGTAGAAGTCATTCGGCTGTACTTATGGAGCCGGTTCTGTGTCCCGATCACGGTGAGGTGGTCGGAGCGAGGGTTCGGGTGGGTGTGTGCCTGGAGGGAGGAGAGGAGGTACAGGAGACGGAGTTTCTTCTGCTTCCACGGGTCGATGTCGAGTGTCCTCAGTGTCGCCTTCTCTCCTCAGGGACCCTTTGCTTTCTGAAAACCGGAGTCCGCGAGGGCCCCAGTAAAGGCAAGAGCTTCTTCGTGTGCCGGGGAGAGTCGTGTGGCTTCGTGCGGCCAGTCGAGTAGGTCCTGGGTGTGGGGGGCTGTCGGAGCCCGCCTGTGCTTGTCTCCCCAAGTCAGGCTAAGGAAGGCTTGGGTTCAGGGCCCTCCTCAGGCACCCGACTGTGTGACCCCGGGCAAGTCGCTTCACCAGCCCTCATAAGACTATAAGTTGCAGACCTGCATTGATGAAGGGAGTTTCGCTCACCTGGAAGTTCCCTATGCCGATTAAGTTTCCGAGGCCATCTCCTTTCCCTGTCCATGTGCAGAGGCCTGGGTTAGGGTTAGAGTCAGAAATCGAAATGGAAGCAGAATTTGCCTTAGACATTAGGTGCTGAGAGTAATTAAACTTTAGCCAAGGCAAGGTTCCTGCCCTCGAAGAGCTTACAGTCTAGTAATGATGTCTATAAGGACTGAGAGCAGGGGTTCTTAACCTTTTTTTGTGTGCCATGAGTAGTCTGGTGAAGCCAGTGGACTCATTTCGGGGGTGAGCTAGTGGGGGAAGTGCATGAATGACACACCTTTGAGTTTAACCTATTTTGTTAACATTTTCTTGTATCACTTTTCATTCTAAGCAACCAACAAAACAGTAAGTCAAGCTCTGATTTGTAGTTTGCCAATTTCTAAGTGTAAATGCTCATACTAAAAATTTTCACACTTGGCTTCAGTTTGAGCTGGTACACCTTTGATCACACACTATTCTATTTTCTTCACTCTTGGCTTCAGCCAAGCAGGCCTGCTTGTTGGGGAGCAACAGAGTAGCTCTTTTCATCCCCTACCTTCCTGCTTTTGCATAGATTGTCCTCCATACCTGTAACCACTGACCCCCTTTAAGGACAAACTGAGATGCCTCCTACTTCAACAGCGCTTCCCTGATTGGACTAGTAGTTTTTCTTTTAGCCCTTGCCCCTGTCACTTTGTATCTATTTCATATATCTCCTTTGTTCACTTATCTGTAAACACATTTCCCCAATAGAATGTAAATTCCTTCGGCAAAGAATCTGTACCACATTTATATTCATATTTTCATTGCCTGGCACATAGTTGATAAAAAAATAATAACTAGCATTTACATGTCATTTTAAATGTATAAAATACATAGGGTTACAAATGAAAGCAACTATATTGAAATAGTTATCAAAATATTAAAAAAAAACGTAGGTTCACAGACTACACTTAAGAACTCTTGGGTTAGCTAGACATCAACAAAGTGGAACAGATGGTTAGTTATAACTCATATCTTTATGTAGCTTCAAGTTTGCTTTCTTCACCCAAACCCTGTAAGATAGGTAGCCAACCACAATTATCCCAGTTTTACAGATGAGGAAACAGGCTCAGAGAGCTAATATGCCTTGTGGGATTTGAGTCCAGGGCCCCTGATTCCAAGTCCACTGTTCTTTCTAAGTCTCATTGCCTCCTAACTGATTGGGGATGGGAGTGGGAGGAGGAAATCCAGAATGGCCTAAAGGAAAGCAATGTGGTAAAGTAGAAAGTATTGGACTTAGGAGTCAGGGTGTTGTCCTCGATCTGCCTCCAGCTAGCTGTGGAGACCTTTCCTGGAGTAAAATTCTGTGATTCTATTATCTTCCTTTAGCAATGGTTACTTGTTTATCCCACATTTCAATTAAAGAAACCTAATTAAAACATTAAAAGTCTACTCTGTGCTAGATGCAATTCTAGGAACTAGGGACATAAAAACCAAAATAGAATAATTCTTCCTCTTCCCTTTTGCTAAAATGATAGGTAGCATTGTCTACTATGTGCCAGGCACTATACTAAGTGCTTTACAGTTATTCTGTCATTTTATCTTCACAACAACCCTTACAGGTAGGTGCTAGTATTATCCCCATTTTGCACATGGGAAAATTGAGGTTGATAGGTTAAATGACTTACTGAGGAAGAATTTCAATAACTTTCCCAGGATCATATAACTATTAAGTAAGTGTCTGAGGGAGGATCTCAACTTAGGCCTTCCTGACTCTTAAATCCAACACTAAATTGGCGATGGCTTGTCATTCCCATCTTAGAATCAATCCCCCTGTGAACATTTTCACATGTATGAAATTTATAAGTAGGGAAAGGAAGGTACAGTTGTGAAGTAATTTGCTTGTGGCCTTGCAGTGAATATGAAGCTGGTTTTCTAACTTACAGACCCAATTCAGCTGAGTCCCCCTGCCTCCTAAGAAAACTTCCAGCTTCATACCTCACTTGATAATAAAAGGAAGAAATTATTGGAATACTACCCAAGACAGAATATTCTCCTGGCAGTTGGAATAGTTTTGCAGCTTAACAGATATAACAGATTACATGTAGAATAAGAAAAAAAGTTTCTATCTTCTCATTTCAGTCTTTGTTTACTATTTATTGATTTTTAACTAAGCTTGGTTTAAAAAAAAGTTTCAATACTCATGCAGATAGTGTGAGGTATGGGGCTTATTTTCAGGAAAGAAAGTTTGTCCTCTCAATACATGCATTTACCTTGGTTTTGTATTTTTTAACTAATGAATCTGAGTTACCTGAAAAAACTAAACAATACTTTCTTTTTACCTGTACCTTCAAAAAATGATGTTTGGGGGTAAATATTGTCTTAGACCTGTAATAAGTTGATAGGAGAAGAGAAATTACTGGATAGAAGACTAGTTGCAGTGTTTTTTTTACAACTTAATAGATACAATAACGGACTGCATGTAGAATAAGTTTCTTATTTGTTTTTATTTTGGTGAGGCAATTGGGATTAAGTGAGTTGCCCAGAGTCACACGGCTAGTAAGTGTCAAGTGTCTGAGATCAGATTTGAACTCAGGTCCTCCTGAATCCAGGGCCAGTGCTCTATCCACTGCACCACCTCGCTGCCCCCTGTTTCTTGTGACTTTTAACACATTTTACTTGTTGTAGTTAATTTGTGCATTTGTTTTATTTTCCATCTCTTATTTAAACACATGGCACCCCACCCCTAATTTAGGACTTTGTACCTGGGAGGGACTCATTTTTTTTTTTATGTTGAATTAGTGGAATTTTATGCTTCCCAGGAAGCCTATCTTCAATTAGGTAGATGCTGTTGCAGAATGTGAGAGAAAAGTGCTATGTGAAAGTCTTTTCCAGAATCTGACTCTTCATTGGAAGACGAATACTGAAGCTGAAGCTTAAATAGTTTGTCCATATAATGAGAAGATAGGACTCATTGGAAAAGACGCTGATAGTGGAAAAGAGTGAAGGCAAAAGGAGACGGGGATGGCGGAAGATGAGATGGATAGATAGTGTCATGGAAGCAATGAATATAAGCTTGGATAGACTTTGGGAAGCAGTAGAACATAGAAGGGTCTGGCATGCTGTGGTCCATAGGGTCACAACACAACTGAACCACAACAGTCCCTAGTATCGAGCAGTGTTTTGTACGTAGTGTTTAATAAATGTTTGTTGAATGCTGAAACTTACTTGTTAGTTTCCCCCAATTATAGCAAAGTAGAAGTAGCAAGATAAAAGTGAAAGATACTGGTAAAAGGAGTGGCGATAAGAAGTTAGAGTGGACAGCTTTTTTTATAGAAAAACTAAAGCAAACACAATAAGCCTAACATTTGATGGTGGCTTAATATAAGGGTATACAACTCTACATGCCTCAGTGGTCCTACTATATTATAAAACAGTGCCATAATTGATATTCATAACAACCCAAAGTTATGAAAAACTTTTAAATTATATTTACTATTTAAGGAGGTGGTGATGTATTATGTGTTTTTAAAAGATTCTATCAAAAACATCTAAAGGGAGCTTTGCTGCTTAGAAAAGTAAATTTCAGTTATCTGGCAAAGGCTTATGTAAAATTCCTCAATAGCAGGATGTATCATATTGATATACAGAACAGCAGTGCTTTTAGAGGCCTGGCCTCATAAATGAGTTTTTGTGTTTCTCTTATGTTTAAGAAAAGCTGTGTTTAGGATTCGATCTTAGGATATTGAGTGCTTGATTTCTTGTCTCCTGAAATGAAAAAAAAAATCTGATATTCTTTTTCTATGTTCAGTGTTCCTGTTTCTCATTGTTTATTACATGAAGATTATGTGGTAGAGCTCCAGGGTTTGCTTCAGCCGCAAGACATGAAAGAATATAGGTATGTTCAAAGGATGTTTGTGCATATGTGTGCATGTTTAATATGTGTGTTTGTTTTATGTGTGTGTGTGTATGCATACACACACACACACACAGGTAAATGTTTGCTCTGCTCCGTCTTCTCAACACTTTTGTACTCTTTGAATAATTACTCTTTGTTAATTGTTGCATATCTTTTTCTCCTGGACAGGTGATGATTACTGACTGGTTAATCTCAAATATTGATATGGGTAATCATAGGGCTAGCAGATACCCCACTCCCATCCTTGTTGGTGATCATAAGATTTGTGGAAAATGAAAGATATATCATCAGGAAAAATTTGGGAGGCTTTAGTAGTGTTAATAGTTGATACCATGCTTCCTTCTCTACTGAGAATAACTGTGGGGGAAAGGTGATGTGTGTCCCCTCAGAATTCTTATCTGTAAAATAAAAGAGTTGAACTAGATAGTTTCAGAGGTCCTTCTAATATTTTTCCAAGAACTAGTCAGGTTTCACATTCAGCCTGGACTTAAGAGGACCCCTGCTTTAGGATGCCACTTTAAAAAATAGGTTACGTTGTATCTTGACCTTGTGTTTTGAAATTGCTTAAGGAAATTCAGGGAGCCATACATCATAAAAAATATAGTAATTGCTGTTCTCTCCTTAAAGATAGTTGCCTCTGTTTCCCTTTAAGATCTCTCTTAAAGGTTTGGCAGTCTAGTACTGTATTCATAGGAAAGCACACATTCTATACATGGAAATTCAGCAAGTGAATGGTAGCAGTGATTGTGAAAAAAAAGGTATTCAATGTGTGGTTACAGTTAATTCTTGATTCCCTGGACGTGCATTAGATATATTGTGAATTATTTGATTGGGACTGCAGTTGTCCCTGATTGTCCATGTAAGTTATGGGATTGCTGCCAAAGTAATTTACTGGTAGATTTCCCTTGGTTTTGACTGTTTCTGATAATGTCTTTTTTAAATTCAATTAAAAAAATGTGTTTCTTAAAAGCGTGCCACATATAGAGCACTGTTGGGCACGTGTAGTAGAAAGAACCCTAGATCTGAAATTAGAAGACCTGGTTTTGAATCTACTACTGCGCTTGACTGCCTGTGTGACCTTGGGCAAGTCACTAATGTCTCTGAGCCTGTTTGTGAATACATACAGTGCCCACATCACACAAAGATGTAGTGTACATAAAGGGCTTGGAAATTTAAGCTATTCTTAATTAAATCAATAATAATAGTAATTGTTATTATTATGGTAGGACACAGTCCCTCATCTTGAGAGGCGTTGGCTTCGATGCTAAGATGTGGAGAGGTGACTGCAGAATTAGTTGTGGTGTAAGGCAGAATATGAGGAAGTGGGGACAGTGCAGTATTGTGGGAAGGGCTCTGGATTTTGAGGCTGGCAATTGGATCTGGATCCTAACTGCTGTTTACAACCTGACTTTGGACAAGTCTGTTCCCCTCTCTGGGCCTCAGTTTCCTCATCTGTAAAATAAGAAGTTTGTACCAAATGGCCTCCAGTGTATAAATCTTCCATTTCTAAGTCCATACTCTTTTCTAGTAAGTGTCACGAGAGAGAGACAGAGTTCAGTAAGGGCTTCCTAAGGAAGCCGGCCTTGAAGCGTAGGTGGGATCTCAGTAGTAAGAGATGCAAAAGAGAGGCATTCCACAAAGAGGAAATCACGTAAGCAGAAGTGGGTTGTGTTCTGGGAATAGTGATTAGCTCAGTTTGGCTGCAGTATTTCAAGGCATAATGCTAAAATGACTGGAAGTATAGGCTGGAGAATGTTATAGAATATATGCTGGCAGCTCGGTGGGGCAGCGGATAGAGTGTCGGGCCTGGAGTCAGGAAGACCTGCAGTCAAATCCAGCCTCAGACACTTCCTAGCTGTGTGACCCTGGGCAAGTCACTTCACCCTGTTTGCCTCAGCTTCCTCATCAGTAAAATGACCTGAAGAAGGAAACGGCAAACCACTCCTGTATCTTTGCCAAGAAAACCCCAAATAGGGTCACAGAGTGTTGGATACATCTGAAACGACTGAACAACAACAATACATCGTAGAAGACCTGAATGCCATGCCAGCAATCCTGGATTTGGTTCTGTCGGCACGAGGGAGGCATTGAGACTTTCCAAGCGGGGGAATAACCAGAATGTCCTCGTGCTTAGGTAGATTTAACGTAGCAGCAATGTAAAGGATGGATTGGGCTCGGGTGACGCTGGGGACAGAGAGACTGGTTAGGTGGCTGTTGTGGTAGTTCATGTGAGAGAGAATAAAGTGGTGACTGGGGAATAGAAAGAAGTGGACAGATGGAAGGGACGCTGTGGTGGTAGAATTCATTGCACTTGGCAGTTGATTGGATGTCGGTTATGTGGGAGAGGGAAAAATTCAACAAACATTTTTTAAAGTTCGTTAATTACTTACAAGGCACTGTGCTAGGCACCAGAGTTACGTAGATAAAAAATTTTTCAGTCCTAACTCTCAAAGGGCTTATATTCTTCTTATAGGAAGGATACAGCATGAACACAGTCGAATGTAATGCAAGGTAGGCAAAGGAGAGAGCCAGATAAAATGCTCTAGGGAAATTTGAGGAGGGTGATAATGCTGGGACTATCAGAAAATGCTTCAAAGAGAGGATGGCATTTGAGGTCAGCCTTTTAGGGAGATAAGGATTCTTAGAGAGGAGGGAGTGCTTTTCAGGTACTTTTTTGGTGAGCTTATGAAGGCAATAAATGATGTCCTCAAATGGGGAAATAGCTAGTTCTTTAACTGGAACGTTCACGAAGGGAAGTAATGCAAAATGAACCTAGAGAGGCAGGTTGTTGAATTGAATGCTGGGTTAAAGTGCTTGGACTTTGATTTTGTAGGTAATAGTAAGTAGCTGTTAAAGATTTCTTAGCCAGGCCAGTGATGTGATAAAGATGAAATTTGGAGAATATTAACTAAACAGCATTATACAGGACGGATTGATTTCAGGAGAGAGACTGGAAGCAAGGAGGCCAATTAGAAGGCCGTTGCAATAATGTAGGTATGTGGTGATAAGGGTCTACATTAGCCTGGAGGCAGTGGGGGTGGAGAGAAAGTAATAACTGCTCCTGATGTTGCAGAGGAAGATTTGATGAAATGGTTCTTTGTAAGAGACTCTGAATTTATTCTGGGCCACGAGGTCAGCAAGTCACTGAACTGCTGGTGACTGAATATAACCAAGTACTGTACTGCATTGTGTTTGATGTGTGTTTGAATTTTGTTGAGTGTTCCAGTGTTTTAAAATGACAGGAACTTCAGAAAACAAAGACTCGTTTTATTCTTTCCAGAAGTGTTATGCCCTGGTTTTCCTCCAAAGAGCATAAAAAATTTTATATTCTTTAGTCAGTGCCATCATATTAATCCTACAAAGTGTTCATGGTTGCAAAAGACAGTTATTCTCAAGAATATTGCTACAAAATAGTTTTAGTTTGCTTTTAGGTGTATTTCTTGAATTTTAGCACTAGGTGGTACTGCTGGCTAGCATCTGATGAGTCCCTGAATAGACCAGTCATTTCCCAGGTGTAGCTTTGGAGTTCTTGCACTAAGTAAGCCATCAGAACGCCCAAGAGAACGGAAATTAGATATTTGCTTTGAGTTTATTAGTTGGTGCTAAAGTTCAAAACAATTAATATCTTTTGTTTTTATATCGTATTCATTGCTGAATGTTTCCCTCTCGGCCTCCCCTACTGAGTGAGCCATCTTTTGTAACAAAGAAGAAGAAAACCAAACCAGGTCACTAGAACCAACCAGCACTGCAGCTGGGTTTCATTGCAGATGCACTATTCTGTGTGCATGGTTTCTCTCTTCCCTTCCTTCTCCTGAATTTCCCCTACCCAAACAGTTCGCTTTTATTGTTGTTCACTTATTCCAGTTGTGTCTGATTCTTCATGACCCCGTTTGGTTTTTCTTGGCAAAGATAGTGGAGTGGTTTGCTATTTCCTTCTCCAGCTCATTTTACAGATGAGGAAACTGAGGTAAACAGGATGAAGTGACTTGCCCAGGGTCACACAGCTTGTAAGCAACTGAGGCTGGATTTGAACTGAGGTCTTCCTGACTCTAGTTCTGGTGCTCTATCCACAAAAAGTGGGCTACTCCCACATTTCTTAAAGTAAAACATTCTTTCTCCTAAAGTGAAGGGTAGAAGGACAAAGGAAAACTGAACTTTGTCATTACTTTGACTGACCTGGGTAAAAGCAGGAGGTTGGTTTTTTTTTTTTTGATGAGGCAGTCAGGGTTAAGTGACTTGCCCAGGGTCACATAGCTAGTAAGTGTCAAGTGTCTGAGGCCGAATTTGCACTCATGTCCTCCTGACTCCAAGGCTGGAGCTCTATCCACTGGGCCACTTAGCTGCCCCAAGATTATTTTTTTAGACCACTTATTACTGGGAGTGAGATTTTTTTCTTCTCTTTTTAAAAATAAATAAATAAAATTAAATGATATTTTTCCCCAATTACATGTTAAAACTCTTTTTTTTTTAATTTTTGAGTTCCAAATTCTGTCCCTTCCTCCTCTCCCCCTCCCTGAGAAGATAAGGATTTGATATGAGTTATACATGTGCAAAGATGTAAAACATTTCCATTAGTCATTTTGTGGAAGAAAACTTGAACAAAAAAAAGTGAAAAATGATATGTTTCTGTCTGTATTCAGACATAAATCAATAGCATTTTTAGCTGACAGCCATAGAAGCCAGTAGATTCAAAATAGCACTTTTCATCATGAGTCCTTTAGGATTGTCCTAGATCATTATATTGCTGAGAATAGCTAAGTCATTCACAGTTCTTCATTATGACAATATGACTTCTTACTGTGTACAGTGTTCTTCTGTTTCTGCTCATCTGACTCTGTATCAGTTCATGTAAGTCTTTCCAGGTTTTTCTGAAATCATCCTACTTGTCGTTTCTTATAGCACAGTAGTATTCCATCACAGTCATATACCTTGTTCAGCCATTCCCCAATTGATGGGCATCCTCTCAATTTCCAATTCTT